CTGGTGATTGTAAGATGTGTCGTGTAGTCTGTCGCACGTGTAACTGTAGCGGAGTTACAGACCTCTGTAGCCTTACTGCTCCAGTCTCAAGGGTCTACTTACTACTCAAGAGTCTCTTGAGTACCCTGTTTGAGTGGGAGAAGGATCTCCCGTCGTGAGTAGTAGCGATTTTAAGCCAAAATATCTTGAGCAAAAACATGTGCAAATGAGTTGAAGAAATATTAAAAAAAGAAAAGAATATCCATTCCCTCTCCCCCCTTTCCTTTATCCCCCTCTCCTCTGTTCTTCTCTCATCCTATTCCCTTCCCCTTCCCACCTCTCCTTCACCGTACACACCTCGTGTCCAGACCAAATGGGCCATTAACCAAGGGTGCCACACGCCTCCAGAGGATTATATTTCCTCCACATGCAAATATAATTTAGTATTACCACGTTGTCTCCCAAATTACCAGCACATTGGAGGGGCGGAGTAGTTAAGCAGCAGCAGCCGCGGCGGGCAGACACCAGCGTGCTGCTGCTGCTGTCTTCACTCACGCCTCACTCATCACCCCGTGTACCAGTTCATCCGGTTACTTCTGGCGCTCTAGGGGGCAAACAGTCAGGACATACAAGCGGAACTTTCAGTTCAGTATACCTGTCCTCGTGAGGCAGGTATACTGAGGCAGGTGTATCCACTCCACCGTTGAGCTTAAATATGACTTCCTCTTCACAAAGTGTTCGGGTGTCCTCTTCTCAAATCTTACTCCATTATCACTTCCCAATTAATTCAATCTGGATTTCTCCTTAACAGTACACAGGATAATCTCATCGTTTCTCTTATAATTCACACAAAGGCAAGATGAAAAACCCATGACCAAACAAATATTTAATAAAGACATACACCAATGAACATATTAGGAGACTCCTTCCAAACAACGTCTCGTACAGTCACTTCAGCCTCATCAGCGTCAACATGTAGCCAGCTCGCTGTTCACTTCTTCACACACAAAAGTACTCTCACAAACGCTTAGGGAGGCGCTCGCTCTATAAATACATGTACTTGCTCAACCCGTTCTCGCACTTGCTTAAAGTCAATATTGGCTTATTTAATAAGTGCATATGTGACATACTAATTGATTGTGAATATTTTAGTTTACCTTGAAAAGCTTCATAGAAAACACCGACCTCACCTAACCTTCTTAGTATGTTAAGATAAGCATCTTATTGCTTCTTAAGTACAATTATTACTTAACCTATACCGTTGATAGGTTAAGTAATAATTGTAAATAAGAAGCAATAAGATGCTTATCTTAACATACTAAGAAGGTTAGGTGAGGTCGGTGTTTTCTATGAAGCTTTTCAAGGTAAACTAAAATATTCACAATCAATTAGTATGTCACATATGCACTTATTAAATAAGCCAATATTGATCATAAGCAAGTGCGAGAACGGGTTGACTTGCTTGCTTGCACTCAGCACCATAAGAATGCACATACACGTCTGTGTACATGTATGTTCTCCTGGCATAAGGTGAAGAAACTCTAATATCTCCCATGAGTGTAGCGGTTGTGGAGATGCCACAAGTTCACCAGTTGTTCGTCATAAAGTGTCCAGTTTATACATAACAACACATGGCCTTAGTAAATTAAGGTAGATGGATGAACATGTCCAAACGACCGTTATCTTGGCCAACACGATCCACCTTTGACTGCTGTATTGCTGAATTTCTCCTCATAACCCTAGACTCCCTCACCCTCATAACCCTAGACTCCCTCACCCTCATAACCCTAGACTCCCTCACCCTCATAACCCTAGACTCCCTCACCCTCATAACCCTAGACTCCCTCATCCACATTCCTCTTACTTTGGCTGGATTCAGATACACAGAAATCACAATAGCGTGATGCATCAAATGAACAAATCCACAAGGGCCCTCGTCACGGCCCTTGTGGATTTGTTCAGAAACAAATATTTCTATCTTTCTCACAACCATACTCGGCGTCAATCATACTGAATACAGCTGAAGCTCAAACAACCAATTGACAAGAAATGATCACGGTGAATGTATCCAACTGTTCTTGGGGTGGACTTTAACCTGTGAGCTCCACATAAGATTGTTCCACATCACTCGGTGAGGTGTGACATGTGAGGCTGGTCGCTGGATACTCTCCTCTCCCAGTACACACATTTATAGTCGATAAATCGTCGGGCTCACACGCGTGGGGGTCCAGGGTTCGAGACCCATACAGCCCAGATGAATGGAAGACATTTACATGTTACGACGCTGTCTGATAAATCTATAATGGCGTCCCAGAGATCTTCTGTCCCTCAAAATCGCTCTCGAACCCTTGTTGGTCGGCAGCGTCGATAGTATCACCGAGACATGTGACGTACGTACGTACGTACACGTACGTGTGTGTGTGTGTGTGTGTGTTGTCAAGACAGGTGGGGGGGGGTCAAGATAGGTGGGGGGGGGGGTCAAGATAGGTGGGGGGGGTCAAGATAGGTGGGGGGGGGGTCAAGATAGGTGGGGGGGTCAAGACAGTGGGGGGGTCAAGACAGGTGGGGGGGTCAAGACAGGTGGGGGGTCAAGACAGGTGGGGGGGGGGTCAAGACAGGTGGGAGGGGGGTCAAGACAGGTGGGGGGGTCAAGACAGGTGGGGGGGGGTCAAGACAGGTGGGGGGGGGGTCAAGACAGGTGGGGGGGGGGTCAAGACAGGTGGGGGGGGGGGGTCAAGACAGGTGTCTGCTGGTAACACCTGACACTCTCCACTCCTCGAACGAACAACAAGCGTGATTTACCTCCAGATAAATCACGTTAATCACATTAACCTGATTTATCTGGGAGTACCCAGCACACAGGTTCGAATCCCCATGGTTCTTACTGATAATAATAATAATAATAATAGCATCACCACAACTCTAAGGAGACTGCTTGGCAAGCAGAAGCGCCCAGCAGGTGGGCAGCAGTAAGTCGCTCACTCAGCAGGTGAAGCTCTTAACTAATTAACCATTGCTTGATAAGTTTGGCTCTTTGAGTGCTTATATTTCCCACCCCCTTGTTCCCATTAGCCAGGGTGAACCACGCCTTGCTCCCATTAGCCAGGGTGAACCACGCCTTGCTCCCATAACCCAGGGTGAACCACGCCTTGCTCCCATTAGCCAGGGTGAACCACGCCTTGCTCCCATTAGCCAGGGTGAACCACGCCTTGCTCCCATTAGCCAGGGTGAACCACGCCTTGCTCCCATTAGCCAGGGTGAACCACGCCTTGCTCCCATTAGCCAGGGTGAACCACGCCTTGCTCCCATTAGCCAGGGTGAACCACGCCTTGCTCCCATTAGCCAGGGTGAACCACGCCTTGCTCCCATTAGCCAGGGTGAACCACGCCTTGCTCCCATTAGCCAGGGTGAACCACGCCTTGCTCCCATTAGCCAGGGTGAACCACGCCTTGCTCCCATTAGCCAGGGTGAACCACGCCTTGCTCCCATTAGCCAGGGTGAACCACGCCTTGCTCCCATTAGCCAGGGTGAACCACGCCTTGCTCCCATTAGCCAGGGTGAACCACGCCTTGCTCCCATTAGCCAGGGTGAACCACGCCTTGCTCCCATTAGCCAGGGTGAACCACGCCTTGCTCCCATTAGCCAGGGTGAACCACGCCTTGCTCCCATTAGCCAGGGTGAACCACGCCTTGCTCCCATTAGCCAGGGTGAACCACGCCTTGCTCCCATTAGCCAGGGTGAACCACGCCTTGCTCCCATTAGCCAGGGTGAACCACGCCTTGCTCCCATTAGCCAGGGTGAACCACGCCTTGCTCCCATTAGCCAGGGTGAACCACGCCTTGCTCCCATTAGCCAGGGTGAACCACGCCTTGCTCCCATTAGCCAGGGTGAACCACGCCTTGCTCCCATTAGCCAGGGTGAACCACGCCTTGCTCCCATTAGCCAGGGTGAACCACGCCTTGCTCCCATTAGCCAGGGTGAACCACGCCTTGCTCCCATTAGCCAGGGTGAACCACGCCTTGCTCCCATTAGCCAGGGTGAACCACGCCTTGCTCCCATTAGCCAGGGTGAACCACGCCTTGCTCCCATTAGCCAGGGTGAACCACGCCTTGCTCCCATTAGCCAGGGTGAACCACGCCTTGCTCCCATTAGCCAGGGTGAACCACGCCTTGCTCCCATTAGCCAGGGTGAACCACGCCTTGCTCCCATTAGCCAGGGTAAACCACGCCTTGCTCCCATTAGCCAGGGTAAACCACGCCTTGCTCCCATTAGCCAAGGAAAATCACGCCTTTTTCACATTACCGGAGTAAAGCCTGCCCTACTCTACTGGTCACGGTAAACCACACCCCCCCCCCCTCTTCGTATTAATAAACAACACATTGTTTCCATTAGCAAGGGTAAACCAAATCTGAAAACAATGTAAACAAACAATTGATTCAAATTTAACCATTGTTCAAGATGATAAACCTAAGAAGTAAACCAAAGAATACTTCCAGAAACAATATCTTATCAGTCTTAAATATTCTGGCTAATTTCTGTGAAACTGGACGAATGGTGACGTGTGAACCTGTTAGATAAGATTTCAGACAAAGTGTACACTTGTTGACCAAAGTTTGAGACGTTTAATTTTCTTAAGTAAAACCCGTAATAGTAAATTGAAATGCATCTGATCACATTCCTGCGTGCAAACAGTAATAAAGGTATTAAATACGAATAAAACCTAAATAAACCCAATCAACCAATACCATATAAACCTTGGTCGGTAGATGAAACCTATTTAGCAAGTCTAGAATATGTAAACCACTTCATACCTGCAGTGTAAATTTGTATACTACATAAACATGGATATGCACACATTCCTATGGTGCCTGGGTATACATTCCTATGGTGCCTGGGTATACAGGGTCAGTATACACACTTTACATCTCTCATACTCGCCCATTCTAAACTTATTCCTTCACACACACACACACACACCTCTCCATCTTGTCTACACCAAACAAGTGGGTGTAAGGACTCACGTTATGGAGCCAGGTGATGTTGTAGGCTGGTGGGTCGGCTCTCACGGAACAGAGGAAGCTGATGCTCTTCCCTTCCATGACCTCTCTCCCACCTCCTCCAGCACTCCTTTTCCCTCCCTCCACCAGCAGCGTCGCCTCTGGGACATCTGCAACACGTCAGGGAGGGGAGTAAGGTAACGGGCGAGCATTAATGATGGGAGAGATAGAGGGGTGAGAGATATGGGAGAGATAGAGGGGTGAGAGATAATTATAGAAAACTAACATTCCATATTAAATATTATATGCACAAGTCCTTGCAACTGGTATTATATCAACTACCACTAGCATTTTAACACATTTAATTTTTTTATTTTAAATTTTAAATCAATAGTTCTCGAGAAATTAACAAATTAACACGAGTAGGATTTAGCAAGATGCAAACCAAATATGTCTTACTCAACACCTGCCAGGATACGCCAATAAAACACCTGCCAAGGACGCCCAATAAAACACCTGCCAGGACGCCCCAATAAAACACCTGCCAGGACGCCCCAATAAAACACCTGCCAGGACGCCCCAATAAAACGTCTGTCAGGACGCACCAATAAAACACCTGCCAGGACGGACCAATAAAACACCTGCCAGGACGCCCCAATAAAACACCTGCCAGGCCGCACCAATAAAACACCTGCCCCAATAAAACACCTGCCAGGACGCACCAATAAAACACCTGCCCCAATAAAACACCTGCCAGGACGCACCAATAAAACACCTGCCCCAATAAAACACCTCCCAGGACGCACCAATAAAACACCTGCCAAGAAACATCAGTAAAACACGTCATGACCAAACATTAAACACGTGAAGTGAGATAACAGTTGTTCCTCTGAGGTAGAGATGAGGGACTTGTGACAGCTCCGTCAACCCTACGTCATAAGGGCAGGGAGGGAGGGAGGGAGAAAGGGAGGGAAGAGGTAGGGAAGGAGGGAGAAAGGGAGGGAAGACGTTGGAAGGGAGGGTAAACATCATGAAACAGAGTGGGAAAGAAGAGGTGTAAAAGAAGGAAGAGACGATAGAAAAGCAGAACAATATAAAACAAAGAAAATCAAAAGTCCATCCAGGAGGCTTGACAGCTGAGTGGACATCGTTCGGGATTCCTAGTCCTAAGGTTCCGGGTTCGATCCCCGGTGGAGGCGGAAACAAATGGGTAGAGCATCCTGATGTCCCTGTTCACCTAGCAGTAAATAGGTACCTGGGAGTTAGACAGCTGCTACGGGCAGCTTCCTGGGGGTGTGTAACAAAAAGGAGGCCTGGTCGAGGACTGGGCCGCGGGGACGCTAAGCCCCGAAATCATCACACGAAATCATCGTGTTTCACAATATTTACATTGAATAAGTTTTTTATTTATTACTTCATAATTTGTGTTAGTTGATGAAAGTCCGAACAGCAGGTGTCAATGCGGCCGTGTTCGAAATATACTGAATGACATTTTATGTCGACTCCTTCACTCGAGTTAACATTCACTCGAGTTAACATTCACTCGAGTGAAGGTTGAATTGTTGAGAGACTGTTTGGGTTGGTCACGTGTTGCCAAAAATAACAACTCTAAGTTTACACATTTTGGATGAAGCAGAGTCGAGGAATTAGTCTGTTGACGCAAAGGAAAATATATTTTCTAGTTGTCAGATGTTGGCGCCCGCGGTTGGTGTGGTATTTCTGTGGGACGAATGTGTAGGGAAGCCGAGTGTGGACTATGTATCCTCTACACATAGTCCTCTACACATAGTCCACCACACATACCAGCCACATCTTAGTCTGTATCTTACACTTTGGGGCAGATTGACTACATTTCTTATTAGATTTAAGACCAAGTACTGCATTATCTAGTAACTTTAGATACTTCTGAGGATAACATTACCACTTAAACATATTTCAGGATGGAACTAGAATAGAAGTTGTAGTATTGAACTTCACTTTGGTAGTGTTCTTACGTGTGGCTGTTCTTACGTGTGGCTGTTCTTACGTCTGGCTGTTCTTACGTCTGGCTGTTCTTACGTCTGGCTGTTATCTCTACGTGTTCCTGTACCCAGCGGTTCCTGTGTCTAATATATTAATAAACGAGTTGTATGGAAGAGAGAGAATTAGAAATGACACATACATAATTAACGCCCGGGTGCAGCCAAGTTGCATCTGGCAAATTATCTGCTGTATATTTAACCCGGGAATGGAAGCCTTGCAACAAAACTGCTTATGCAAATATAGATTGACATGTTTCAACACAATCAACACGGGATATGTACTCCGAGAGGAATACCTCACTTCTCAGTGTACACATTTTACTATAGTCGTGAGCACAGTCCACGACTAAAGTATACCTGCTTGTTGATCAGTAAAGCTGTTGTGGTGACCTTAACCTTCCAGATGATCATAGGCCTTAAGCTCAATACCAGATCAAAACGCAGATAGACAGGATCATCACATGTGTTCTCCTTGCCTGATCTTCCCTAGTGTTAAAAGGATCAACATTACTGAGCTAACATTAATCGGATGTTATATTACCTCAGCTAAATTTACAGATAATTTCACTGCCAGCTGGCCACCAGTGGTGTAGACTACCAGCTGGCCACCAGTGGTGGTAGTGGTGAGGACTACCAGCTGGCCACCAGTGGTGGTAGTGGTGAGGACTACCAGCTGGCCACCAGTGGTGGTAGTGGTGAGGACTACCAGCTGGCCACCAGTGGTGTAGACTACCAGGTGGCCACCAGTGGTGTAGACTACCAGGTGGCCACCAGTGGTGTAGACTACCAGGTGGCCACCAGTGGTGTAGACTACCAGGTGGCCACCAGTGGTGTAGACTACCAGGTGGCCACTAGTGGTGAGGACTACCAGCTGGCCACCAGTGGTGGTAGTGGTGAGGACTACCAGCTGGCCACCAGTGGTGGTAGTGGTGAGGACTACCAGCTGGCCACCAGTGGTGTAGACTACCAGGTGGCCACCAGTGGTGGTAGTGGTGAGGACTACCAGCTGGCCACCAGTGGTGGTAGTGGTGAGGACTACCAGCTGGCCACCAGTGGTGGTAGTGGTGAGGACTACCAGCTGGCCACCAGTGGTGGTAGTGGTGAGGACTACCAGCTGGCCACCAGTGGTGGTAGTGGTGAGGACTACCAGCTGGCCACCAGTGGTGGTAGTGGTGTGGACTACCAGCTGGCCACCAGTGGTGGTAGTGGTGTAGACTACCAGCTGGCCACCAGTGGTGGTAGTGGTGTAGACTACCAGCTGGCCACCAGTGGTGGTAGTGGTGTAGACTACCAGCTGGCCACCAGTGGTGGTAGTGGTGTAGACTAGCAGCTGGCCACCAGTGGTGGTAGTGGTGTAGACTAGCAGCTGGCCACCAGTGGTGGTAGTGGTGTAGACTACCAGCTGGCCACCAGTGGTGGTAGTGGTGTAGACTACCAGCTGGCCACCAGTGGTGGTAGTGGTGTAGACTACCAGCTGGCCACCAGTGGTGGTAGTGGTGTAGACTACCAGCTGGCCACCAGTGGTGGTAGTGGTGTAGACTACCAGCTGGCCACCAGTGGTGGTAGTGGTGTAGACTACCAGCTGGCCACCAGTGGTGGTAGTGGTGTAGACTACCAGCTGGCCACCAGTGGTGGTAGTGGTGTAGACTACCAGCTGGCCACCAGTGGTGGTAGTGGTGTAGACTACCAGCTGGCCACCAGTGGTGGTAGTGGTGTAGACTACCAGCTGGCCACCAGTGGTGGTAGTGGTGTAGACTACCAGCTGGCCACCAGTGGTGGTAGTGGTGTAGACTACCAGCTGGCCACCAGTGGTGGTAGTGGTGTAGACTACCAGCTGGCCACCAGTGGTGGTAGTGGTGTAGACTACCAGCTGGCCACCAGTGGTGGTAGTGGTGTAGACTACCAGCTGGCCACCAGTGGTGGTAGTGGTGTAGACTACCAGCTGGCCACCAGTGGTGGTAGTGGTGTAGACTACCAGCTGGCCACCAGTGGTGGTAGTGGTGTAGACTACCAGCTGGCCACCAGTGGTGGTAGTGGTGTAGACTACCAGCTGGCCACCAGTGGTGGTAGTGGTGTAGACTACCAGCTGGCCACCCACCAGTGGTGGTAGTGGTGTAGACTACCAGCTGGCCACCAGTGGTGGTAGTGGTGTAGACTACCAGCTGGCCACCAGTGGTGGTAGTGGTGTAGACTACCAGCTGGCCACCAGTGGTGGTAGTGGTGTAGACTACCAGCTGGCCACCAGTGGTGGTAGTGGTGTAGACTACCAGCTGGCCACCAGTGGTGGTAGTGGTGTAGACTACCAGCTGGCCACCAGTGGTGGTAGTGGTGTAGACTACCAGCTGGCCACCAGTGGTGGTAGTGGTGTAGACTACCAGCTGGCCACCAGTGGTGGTAGTGGTGTAGACTACCAGCTGGCCACCAGTGGTGGTAGTGGTGTAGACTACCAGCTGGCCACCAGTGGTGGTAGTGGTGTAGACTACCAGCTGGCCACCAGTGGTGGTAGTGGTGTAGACTACCAGCTGGCCACCAGTGGTGGTAGTGGTGTAGACTACCAGCTGGCCACCAGTGGTGGTAGTGGTGTAGACTACCAGCTGGCCACCAGTGGTGGTAGTGGTGTAGACTAGCAGCTAACGTATCAAAAACAGTTTACAATTAATTATCTTTTCATCTATGTGCAGTCTGGTCACACCCGAAAGGTCACGGGTTCGAGTCCCACAGCAAGAGAGATGTATCCTAGGTTACTTCAATAGCTGGCCTAGACCTTCCGGGACCTATATAAGCCTAACAGTCTTCCGCTCCCCAACTATGGTTAAGGTCAAAAAAAGTTCAAATGATTTTCCAGGTGACAAACTGTCAGTTTATTGAAGTACCTCAGTTTGGGGTGTGTTGTGTGTCGACACCCACGTGTATAACCGACGACTGTAGAGTAGTGGTGAGAGGTCCAGCACGCAGGTCCTGACGCGCAGGTCCTGACGCGCAGGTCCTGACGCGCAGGTCCTGACGCGCAGGATGGCCAACCCCATGACCAGTTCACGAAAATATCCGTGACGTCACCAATATTGGTTATATCTGCTTGCAGTATGTTGTTCCGTCTGGACGCCCCCCCCCCCTTCTCTCTGTCTGTCTGTGTCTGTCTGTCTGTCTGT